AAAACTTTAATGCCTAAGATGATGCTAGATCGGAGTGAAACATAAATTTAGTTTTTACTAAATACATAGTTTAAAGAAAAATGCATAATAATTATGAAACAGATAAATTAAACATTTATATAGTCACATTTTGAAAGCTATTGTACTTGCCTCTAGCTCATGGTGCATGGGTTGGAACCTCACTTTGATGTTTGACTAACTTCACTACTTTAACTAACTCATCTTTGATGTTTGACAACATCTACTACATAGTTCATGGGACTCAACTCACATTGGCAGGTATAGGTCATAAATAAATATTCTTTGATGCTTGATTCCTTAGTTGAGGTCATATGATCTACTAATATAGCAAGATTGAGATTATATGAATTTTTTTTCCAATAGTTATGCTTTAAAATCCAATTCTTATGTTTTCTTGTGTGCCCAACATTCAATTTCAATAAATCCACATATTAATTTAAAACCTTAAATCAATTCACAGACTTCAAACCTTTTAGCAACTCTTGTGTATAATTCCTCTTATTCATATACCTTTTCTATGATTTGTGTGTTTGTACCTAGGAGAGATGTTAAGCCTAAATATGGCTTTGATCTAAAAGTGTTTATTGAAACTCAACTTGTAAAAGTCAAACTTTGAATCAATTCTAAATGTTATTCACTAAACTAAGTTGATTGTGTAAATTCAATATGAAGATACTTAAGAATATAAGGCTATAATATTGAGTGCACTAATTGAAGTATAGATGGTATTTACAAATTTCTAAATGTGTGATTGGTTTAACATTTTAAATTTGGTGGTTAAAATAGTACATCTATATGAAAATTAATTATAAGTAATTGATGAATATTTCATGTAAATTAAATCATGAGTTAAATCAATAAATAAATAAGTATTTAGAGTCTTGTATCACAACTATTGCAATCAAACTTATGAAGAAGACACAAGAACTTTTCTCATAACTTTTAGTCTTGGATATCTTTTTTAAGTGGTTTGATGTGATAAATTATATATTGTCTTTTAGATATTTCAAGCCTCCTTAATTTTGACTATGACAGAAATTATTTAATAGATGGTGGCATTTAATATATGTTGAATAGGTGATGAGGCTTGTTTTTATCTCACCTCTTTCTTCTTTTTTGGTTTCATTTCAACATATTATTTTTCAGTAAATTTTTCTTCACCATATGCAATTAAATCCCAATGATGTTTTTAGACAAATAATGTTCTCATCTTGTTATACTGCAACTCTTCATAAAATGATAATCTTGAATAAAATTTGATAATAATTAGATGCCCTCTTGAAAGTAATTATCTACTATACTAGGACTATATTGTCTACATTGACAAGAAAAATGAGTAACATAATTCTTAAGGAAATGGTCTTCACACTAGTTGGATATTACTTTTTATGTTGCCTTTTTTTCATCAAAAGAAGCATTAGCTTTATCTTGTCACTATGACATGTGACAATATTAGAAGAGTTTTTAAAATATACTAGGGTCTTAAAATAATATAATTTTATGATTTTTCTAACAAATAAAATAATAGAGATGAGACTCTAAAGTGCAACTCAACATCTTTCCTCATTGAAATAGTTGGCTTTGAATAGCCATAGACTCTAAATAATCCACACTATAGAAGAACAAGAAAAAGAAGCAAGGAATAATTCTTGACCCACCATATATATATGCACATATGTGGAGAGAGATAGGAGTGGTAAATTGATCAGCGTGAGATGATACATGGCATAAGAGTAATAAGACTCCGAAAAGGGTAAGATTGGAGTCAGAGAAGAACAAAGTTATATATGACTATTAACATATAGCTTTTGTAAATGAAATTTTATAAGTCACAATCTCTCCGGGTGTCATTAAACTTTCTAATCATCCCCATTCATCATAGTCCAAAACGAGTGTTCTGATTGCTTCCCGTCAGATAGCTTTGATAATAACTTTCCACTTACATCGGTTCATCTTCATCACACCATATTACATATCGTCTTACCATTATAATTTGACATCGTAAATCAAATTCGTTTGGGTAATTATTGTTGATTGGCTACGATTTGAACGTTCTGATTCCTCAACGGAGTATCAAATATTCGTCGATTTGTTCTTAATGGGCATAGCCACAACACTTAATTTATTGGGCAGGAAATATTCTACCATCCTTAACGAATCCGCCAACTATGCGCCGCAGGGGTCGCACCGGAGTTGACCTCGGCCTTATCCCCGATTTGCGTCGTCTAAGGCCGGCTTTCTGTTTTCAAGGGAGATTGGGCCATCAACGGCAAAGCCGTCAATGATTAGGACAAGTCAACGAGGTGCCGCACCTGCAAGGCCCCGCGCTTCATCTAAGTAAACCATCCGCCGTTATATTTCTGCGTCGTCGCGTTTGGCCGGGAACGGAGGACACCATGGCGGCACAGGGAATTGGAGGCAGCGCTGGGTTGAGAACAGGGACGTCTGGTGACAACGGGGCTGGAAAGGAAGGGGGTTGGAAGCGTGTACTGACCTTCAGTAAGAGAACGGGGGACATCTTTAGAATCACCTGACGGGGTTCATGGTCTATGATTGAGATAGGGTAGCAGATGACCCAGCATAGTCTTTGTGTGAAATGGGCCTCCGAGGCCATGAAAGCTACCTATTTTCTGCATATTTCGTACTCTTTCTTGAAATTTTCTTGTTGGCTACATTTATGCATACATTTCCATACTTGTAGTTCTAGCAATTCCCAAAAAGTGACAAGAAATGATAGTGTCATTACCTCGTAATGAAGTATGAAAATGGGACTGCATTTCTTTATCAAAATAGGTGTTAATAGATACTGGGGGGAATAATTGCTTTGACTGGGTTAAACCCGCGCCCTTGTTCGAAGAGGAACAGTAAATTCAAACCTCTACTGCAGCGGCAGTATTGGGTCATAGTGTGCGTACGAATTCGCTGACCGGCCACAGGGTGTTCTGAGACGAGTCCAGGCTTCACCAAGCCAACAGCGGCGCCTTGTAGTTTGAGAACACAGGAGTCGGAATCAGACTCGCAGCAGCGAAGGCCGGTTAGTAGGGGCTCCATTTTTTCCGTTTACTTCTCGGAAACCGTATCGCCCCGGAGGAGGGGGACCGTGAGAGCCATTTGGGGCGAGGACAATCGGACTGACCCATACGAGCTCCGATGGGGGTCCTCCCCCTCCCCCCCTCTTCCTGTGCGCATCTTCTCTTCTTTCTTCTTCTCAGCATGGGTGGCTTTCTTACGTCAAGTCCCAAGGGAGAGGAGAGAGACAGAGAGAGAGAGAACGAAAAGACAGAGAGGTCGGTATGTCTCGGGGAACAACCCAAAAGGAAAAGGGGCCCTGGCATGGGAGAGAGGCCATTTTTGTGCAATAGATGTTGGGTGGGGATCAGGACATGGTCGGGGAAGACGGTGTGGGGGAACCAAATGTGACACGCGCTACCGTCCACCACGTTGACGTGTTCCCGTCACTGTGCAGCGCGGTGGATGTTGGGGTGTGAGGGACAGGCTGAGGGAATAAATACGACCAACGATGTGGACAAACACTCACCTTTCCCCCTCTTGAGAGAAAGAGAAAGAGAAAGAGAGACGTCCATCATATATGATGTCTCCGCTTTAGAGAGCGGGAGAGAGAACGTCCATCATCATAGGATCCCCCACCTCCCTAATATGAGGAGAGCCCATCCGAATGGCTCATGGAAATGGCCTTCTCCGAGCACACCCATTCCTCTTGGGAGTGATGCCAACTCCGCAGGAAGAATCCCTCTCGTGTCCACGAGTCCTACCAAGGGTGCTATAGGAAGACACAAAGGAACACAATGGCCGCGCCTGTATAGGAGGAAGAGCTCCCCGTTCTATCTTTTCTACTCTTTGAAAGAAAGAAACAGCCCTAACTTGTTTATTTTATGCCAGCTTTTGAAACCTTGTGGCTCACGAGCCGCTTAGACCACCGCGTCGTTGGCTTCTCTAGCCCTGATCACCCCTGTGAGGGACTGTGTGCGGCAGCGCAGAGAGGACGTTTGAGCGAGGGAGCGAGCGAGAGAGAGACAGGGGCAGTAAATATGTGGCTTGATGTGAAATATCTCACTGTCTTGTCCTCTAGATTTTGTCTGCGGAGGACAGACTGGGAACCGGATCCAGCCGGAGGAGATGCGGGGAGCTAAATCTACTGTTAGATCTCCTGCCACGCGCAGCGTACGGCGAGCTCTCCCTCCCCTTCCTCCCCATCCACACACGCCACCGCCAGGGAGATAGAGAGAGAGGAAGAGGCAAATAACTGAATAGGACAAAAACATCCCCGCAGATAGAAAGATAACGATGAGATGCTCCCCGGGCACGCAGATTGAGGATTTCCTTGGGTATCAAGTCAAACCCCCTCCGATTCCTTTAACATCGGCATCAATAATGTGAACTCTTCCCGACCAAAAAATCATGTACCGAGCCGCTTCCACCTCCAATGGCTCTTATCTGAGCCCCCGACTGTCCTTCGGGCATCGAATGGAAACATGCGAACCCTAACTTACTAGGGCTTCGGGATTAGCCACCGGGGTTATCACCTGCACCGCAATTCTCGGGCCGTCATTCGCCAGAGCTCTTAATAGGCGACTCATCAGACAAAAGTCATCATCCGGTGCTACTAACCATACCAGAGGGCTGGCGAAGACCATGTACATTTTGATAGAAAGCCGCCTCCTACCAAAGCTGACCTTCTGTCTGGACGCTGGATTGAGATGGTGCAACAGTTTACGGCAGTAATAGTGGCAGGTGTTGCTCGATCCGACGCTTGGAGGAGAGACGATAATAGTGACGATCCGCGAACAAGGACTTCGGGCCATTGCAAAAATTGTTATCCTGTGGATAACATGCAAAGAAGAGGACGCCTGTTACCTCTTCTTCCTAGCGTGACCTATTGTTCTGTAGTTCCTACCGTTAACGACCAAAGGTAAAACATGGTGTGCCATAGTCTAGCTAAGGTTGTGGAAAACCTTCTTTCAGTCGTTCCACAACGCAAACATCGGGAGCTGATGAACAACCGGGAACCCGGCGGGGCGGGAGCCCGTCGCCGCCGCAGCCATCCAGTTCACGTTCGGCGCAGAGCTGCTGCTGTTGTTGCTGGTGTTGGCGGTACAATCGGCGCTTCCATGAGATGGGTAATAGAATGCCTGTGACAGATCGCAGCAGTCACTCTGTTGGGAGTTGGAATTCCTGGGGCTCTCCCGCTTCTCCATCGACGAGCTCGAATTGCTCATGGGCGACGCTATGGCGGCCGTCTGGCTAGGCAGGCCGCTTTTGTTTGTCATAGGGGCCTCATCACCACCGGGCAGCGTTGAACTCGCCAAGGCGTCGTCAACGGGCTGAGGAACGTCTCCTCTAGGAGAACGCTTGGCGAGATCGCCTGTGATCAGGGTGCTGCTGGAGCAAATGCGCTTCACGTCGTACCGACTGATGTCGAAGTTGGTCACCGCATTCACTCCCCGAAACTTAATGGCGGCGATATCGTAGGCCTCAGCAGCTTCCTCCTGTGTACCTGCAACGAAAACCTCAGAATCTCAAAGCCAATGTCGTGAAGACGAAGGTGATCGTCGTCAACAAACGCAACATAGGAAATTGAGTTGTCCCGCATAGACCATGCGACTATAATCACCGGTATAGAGACGATTTTATACTACACCGTAGACATTGCGCCAAAGTTAAAAAAGAATAAGGAGCTCAAAGAAGAAGCAACTCACTAAACGTTCCCAAATACAGGTCCTTGTTGCCGGCAACTCTACCGATTCGAGCTTGCCACCTTCCGTGCTGATGGTGCCTGTTGGCATGCAGTCAGAAAATAACGCAGGGGAAGTGAGCTCGGAAAGAGACGTAGTTAACACAAACACATTATAATAAAAAACCGAGCCCGAGAGAGAGAGAGAGAGAGAGAGAGAGAGAGAGAGAGGCAAGCAGAACATGGGGGTTCTGGCATCAGCGTCGGTATGTCCGGGATGATGATAAAAGCTGCAAGCTAGCTTGCCAAAAAAAAAGAGTGCTTTTAATGCTAAAGTTAAGTTTCTGCCAGAACCTCGTCACCCCTCGGTACATTGACGCCCCTCTTGAGAAGCCGCTACTGTTCCTGTAGAGAGAGCAAGAGAGAGAACATTCGTTAAATCACCGGGCGCTGGATAATGAAGCTTACAACAGTAGAGCATTCCCGTAAAGAGAGAGAGAGAGAGAGAGAGAGAGAGAGAGAGAGAGAGAGAGAGAGAGAGAGAGAAAACAATAAATTTATGGATTCAGTGTTGTAATTTAAAAAGTTGCATAAATTAATGCACTATTCCTATAGATGGGGAGGAGCAAACATTCGATAGAATCGACTATGTAATTTGAAATTGGAACAGTACAACATTCCTGTAGAGACAGAAGAGAGAGGTTAATAAGATATCCGTGAAAACTAGATTCATAATTTGAATAATGGATCACTAAACCCCGAAATATCCATCTAGGATCGGGAGGAAATCGCAAATTTAAACCGGATCTGCTAACAACGGCGCATTGGTCGAGCAACTGCCTAACTCACCAAAGAAACATTAAGAACAGGGTTCAGGAATCAAAGAAAGGAGGAAGAGCGAACGTTGAGAGCATTTCAGAGCCAAACCTTCTTAAATAAGCCACGAACTCCTGCCTCGTCATGTGCTTCATCTCTTCGACTTCTTTCTCATATGCACTCAGCTGGTACAAAAAGACCAGGCGACTAGAAGTTCACACGAGATGATGCGAAGAAAACGATAAGAACTGAAGGAAGGATTTCCTCGAGACGAATCAGAAGAAATGCTAACGCACAGGAAAATTTATGTGGGTCGTCGGACCCCAGTACTTGAGTGCAGCAAGATCATACGCTCTAGCCGCCTTCTCCTCCTTGTCATAACCCCCTAATCATTTCATAAATATCCACATTGATTGCCACCATTAGGACAGATCAAGCGGATGATAAGAGAGAGGACGAAGACAGTTGTTTGTTGATCGCCGCTCACCTAGATAAACTGTCCGAAGGGGAAATTCCATAGCCGCAGCGAAATCGAACAAACAGATGGGAATAATCAAAATTAGCATATTCTCGGTAACTCTAACTGAGAAAGAGGGAGGGAAGGGGGGAAGAGAGAAGAGGAAGCGTGAGAGGGGAAGAGAGGAGGAGAAAGAGAAAAAGCGAGAGGGAGAAAGAAAGAGGTGAGGACATAGAAAGAGAGAATATCCTGCAGCATACCTTGCCTGCCTTTCCTGGTCTGGCCTTCTTTTCGGCAACTGTTATCCCACAAGTGCGCCTCATATCTTCCAGTCCAGCGATGTCTACAATGAGAGACATCGAACATCTTTTGAAGTTCCTTAAAATAGAGCAAAAACATTCGGTGCTCGATTGGTGCTCACCTGGTAACCCCTCTATATTGCGACGTCCGCTGCCCAAACGTCTCGATGGATTTACGAGGAAGCGCTTCCCGACTGCCAGACTTGCCGATCTGGCGCTTTCGGTCGTCGGTCGTCGGTTGATGAGATGATGCAGACGTCGGGGCAGCGCCAGTGCAGTCCATTTGGATGCTATTGCTCATCGTTAGCGATAGCGATTGGTAGTTGCACTTCTCGGAGTCGGACATCATCTTCTCCGGCAGGTATTGGTTACTCTGCCGGAGCCACGACTTGAACCCGGCAATGGAACTTGCACCGTCGAACCCGGGACCGTATAGGGTTTCAGGGATAGGGACGGGGTGGGCCCCTCCGCCCTGGACGTGGACCGCCGGCACGAAGAACTGTGGCCTGAAACCGTGGGTTTCGTCGAAATGGTGAGCAGCCTGGTGGAAGGACTGGTAGAGGGAGAGGTGGCCCTGCATGTTCTCCCCCGCTTCTCTGTCCATGTGCCCGCCGGTGAAGCTAGCGGGTATGTTGATGTTGATGCCACTGCCGCTCGCCGTGTTGTTGTAGTAGATGTCAGGGAAAGGGGAGATGGAGTGATGATGGGAAGGGTTCTCTTCTGAGGTATTCTCAGAGTAACCGCCCAAGAAGTCTTCCAGTTTTGGTCCTTTGTTCTCTTGACTGGGTTTGACGCGGGAGGAGGTGCATGATGCCGCCGTTGGGATTGGATCACCGTATCGCCATGAATCTACATAAAAAGCTCACACTTTTGATTGGTGGGCCTAACTTCATTATCCTCAGAGTGGTTTAAGGAAAGAAACAAAGAGGGGACAGAAAGGGAGAGAGGAGCAATCACGATGGAGGTTGAAAGATCATGGAAGAGATTTGCAGCAGCGTCGATCAGAATCCTCTCGGAGAAGAAAAATATGTGTAAAACGTGGCGAAAGTTGAGGATACAAGGATTTCGATTACCTCCGCCGCCACCGCCGGGGTTGCTGGGGAAGGTGTCCATGACGCAGACGGACCCATCGGAACGGAGGGGCATGACGGGCAAGGGCTCCCCAAACGTTACCCCATCATCGCCGCAGCCGCCAGCCGCGGCGGAGGCGAAGCTGCTGACCTCACAGCCGCAGGAGGGATCTTCCCGGCTGTGCTCGCCACCAGCGATGTGGTGGTCGGGGTTGGAGTGGTCGTGCTGCTGGTGATGATGATTGGGAGACATAGAGAAGCCCAACCAGTTGCTCATATCCATCATTCGCATAGGAAACAGGAGCCCCACCCAGACGCCACAGTAGCCCAAAAACCCAGAAGATAATACAGTTAGCCGCCCCTCTCTTACCTATCTATCCTCCCCCCCTCCTCTCCACCCTCGCTATCTGTCGACGTTCTTCTCCGCCCCCACAGTGCTCACACTCCAACACCGTTCTCGCCCACCCCTCTCTTATATATCGCAGGTTCTCATTCCTTCTCTCATGGACCGAGGAAAAAGATGAAGGGGGACCATCGTCATTGCCGCGGACTTCCGCTCTGCTGAAACATTGCCGACATATAATAAACACCCTCAAAGCACCCTTCGGTCTGGTTTCTCTCTCTACCCTCCCTCCTCTCTCTCTCTCTCTAACGTTCCACCTGGTCTCAAATTCTATGCCACGGCTTGAAAAGGAGACGGCGATTTGCCGCCTCGGGCTCTGCTCCGCTGATCATAGATACGCCTCGCAACGGCGCAGCGGCTGCGGACTACCACCCGGCCGCCGTCTCCCCCACCGCCTAACAGCACATTTATATTAACCCCCCGTTTTTTCCCGCAGACTAACTGACGTGCCCTTGTTCAGCAGAGGGGAGACGCCGCTTTACCCTGTAGGAGAGATTATGCTCCTTTACGTTGCTCCTGCGGGACAGCTTATCTCCCCCAAGTTCGACCGTCTTTGGGCCACCAGATCCAACGGCGGAGGGTTCCTACCTCACGACAACAGGTGCATCACGATCGTTGGTAGGCTATCCGTTTAGTCCTCGTGAGTCGTCCAGAAGAGACAAAACCTGTGTCGCCGGAGCCCGTCACCTCGGGATGCAACCGGCCGCCGGCGTCCAACGGGGGGAAAGTACGTGACGATGGTCAAAAGAGACAGCTAGACGAGAGAGGTACGGGCGGGGTCTCCGCAAGGAAGAATCTCGCGTCATCTCACGCCTTGCGCTGTTTTAACGACCGACGGTAGCGCTAGGGGGTGGAGCTGCGGTCGTCTTCTCCGGCGCCGGCGAGGAAGATTAGGGAAGATTAGAGCTGCGGCAGTTAGAATCCGCAGGTGATCTCGTCCCGGGACGGGGCAGTTGTTGACGGGGAGGTGGTCCGGCAGCTGCCGGGGCTCGGCCTTAGATTCCCTACATTCCAAAACTCTCCCGCCAACCTATGTTACATGCACGGGTACCCTCCCCAGCCCACATGCTGGGTACCTTGCAGTCGGGCTGGTCTTGGCGTGGCAGCAGAGGCGCCATTGCTCTCCTCTCTCTCTCTCTCTCTTTCTCTCTCTCTCTCTCTCTTACTTACCCGCATCACCCCTCTATAAGTTTTATTTTTTTCATGCGCATAGTGGGCAACTTGTAGAGCTATGTCAGCCGTCGAGGATCATCCTGGAAGGGGTTCGAGAATTCTCTTGTTGTGATGCATAAACGATGCGAATGCCAAATAACTCACGGATTGATATGATTCAAACCTCGAAAGTTAATGGACAATTTTCCTCTTATGCGAAATAACCCTTCATGTCTAATATTTTTGATCGGTTAGAAATTTTAAAATATATTTCTTAATTTTCCTGAGGAAATCGTCGTGTTGCGGCGAGTACGTATTTCGTCTGGTAAGTTAGGGGCAGAGTTGGCGTTGACGCGACGTCTCTGGCCAGAACCCGCTTCTTCGACTTGCCCATTTATTTATTAACGACGTAAGAGAACCAGCATGCAAACAGCATGGTGTAGTAGTAGCGGCAGAGCGGCGGCAGAAGATCACATAGGGAGAGGGAGAGAGCGATGAGCCAGGGGCACAAGAGAGTGAAAGAATGGGAGGCGGCAGTGCGGCTTTGGGGAAAGAGCCAGCCTATGTCTCTATAACGCCTCTCTCGCCAGAGCAGGGACAGGACCTGAGAGAGCCCCACGTAAAACAAAATGCCAGGGGGGGGGTTGCGGGAAGGACAGGCGGACGATCGGCTGGGGAAGGCTTGCAGGAGGGGGGGGCCTCCTCTTCCTTCGTCCATAGACCGCCTTCCTCCCCTCTCATGGACTGGAGCTGCGTTTGAACCGCATGTCTTCGCCCTGCCCAGTGCCAGGTGCTGCGCCACCACCATGGCCTGCAGCGTGGACGTAGATATATGAATCTCTGTGGTGTCCATGGAAAGTCTTTGAGGGGGCAGAGTCTGGCCCGAGAAGACGGAGGCGGCCAGTGGACTCGGCACGAATCTCTATTAACCTTGGATAATGTGCGTTGAGAAATTAGCTTAATGAAGCGTATTGTGAGATCGATGGCAGCGGCTTAGTTTCCCTTGGAACTTGAAAGGCGTTCAGATCTGAGCAAGTACTTGCTTTTAGGAGCTGCCCCATTAACTTACGATTGCGTGAGGCTTAACATGTGGAACTCTGCGCGCTAGAAACATTCCAATCTGTTTTCGTACTCTGCTCGTTTCCAAAATCGTTTCGTGTGAGAGGGAAAGAGGGAGAGAGGGAAGGACGAGGAGACTAAGGTCGAGAGAGAGGGGTAGGCCCCGGGTGGAGAGAAAGTGAGGGATGAAGAGAGAGTCTGAGTCCAAAACTTTGACTTCTAATTTTCTTCATGACCGCACCATCACTAAAAGAGTCAACTCTGCGATCGATGCAATGGATACAAGTTGTTACTCTACTTCCCGTCAAATCGAATCCAGTTGGAGCATCGTCCAAAACGGGCCCCTCTTCCGCACCAAACTTCACAAATGGAAAGATTTTCAACATTTCTGAATCAGAGCGGTTAAAATTGATATTATATCACTATTATAAAGGTCAACGCGTCCTTGGAGCGCGTTCGATGCTCGTCCAACGAGAAGTAGAGATCGTCTTTATACCGACAATTAATTCGTCAGGAGTTACGACATGAACAGGCGGTGCCTGCAAGAACGAACCACCACAGACGCTGCTCATCGAGCAGAAACCCCCACTGTTCATCGTGAGCAGTGTGTTCCTTCAGCGTTCAGACGTCACGCGCACACCCGTCCATGGAAAAATCGACCAATTTAGGAGTAGGTTTACTTGAGATCATCTATATTCAAGGGTATTTATTTTAAGTCGTACATTGGAATATATGCAGTCCCTGGAACATTTAGTAAAACCGTGTTAATGGACTAGGAAAGGGCCCACCCGGCTAATATGCATGGTGTCGTAATACATAATGAAATGAGGATAACACATAAGTGAGCTAGACTGGTCCTCGTACGAGCCAGGTCTTGGCTTTGATAGGATCTCGTCCGAAAATTTGGATGATCTTCGCCGACCGTTTCAAGATAACCGCACGACAGACCCTCTCTCACTGTCCCCTCTCTCTCTCTCTCTCTCGTGGATCAGCACATATGCAAGTCAGGAGAGGGATTTTTGGGGTCTGCTCCGGGGATCATTTCCTAAGATAATTATATGGCTGCAGCCAGTTGTGGACCTCCTAAAAGTTCCAGTGCTCATGTTGGACGGGATAGTGCGACATAGGCCAGGAGAAGACCTTAATGCCCCTATCCATGAAGGAGTCCACCAGAATTTGTGATCTGGTCTTTGTATGAATTATCTGTGATTTAGGAATCTATATCTTCCGTGACTGTTGATCCCGATAAAAAAAGCAGTATTATTTTATTTATTTTAGGTTTGATGTGACCTTGAAGATAGAATCAAGTGCAAAACACGGAAAGTATGTTTATCAATGGGCCGGGTTTGTCATTAGAGAGCCCAGGTCGTGTCTCAACGTTCTTTACAAGGCATGAACCTAAGGCTAACTTCATATCGTTCCTCTACCGTATTAAAACGTCAAAGATCAATTTGATTTCGCAATTCATGTATAGGTTATGTGATGTGGGGCGGAAGAGTTGAGTGAGACATCATAAGCGCATGCGTGATTGTGAGTCAGCGACAGGTGAGGAAACTAATATTTGAGACAGATTTTTAGTTATTATCTTTTTTTTCAGCCTTCATCTTCGTGTCCAGCACAGAATTTTTAAATTGAATTTGGACTTACCAACTCATTAACAATCATACAGTATAGTTGGCCCTATACACATTTTACCGAACCAAAGGCCAAATTGAGATCAAAACATGGGATCCAATCAATCTGTAAAAGCGTCGCAGAGGACGCGATTCCTTGTCACGCGTATCAAGTGTTCATTGTGAAAACTTATGCGACATCTTACTCCGAGGTAAGTTCTTATCGGGATGACTACAGATACAACCATAGCAAGATAGTTGATAATCGAAGATCATCCAAGGACCATCCTCATAGGAAGAGCATAGTGAGAGCTAGGATCTGGGGCAGCCTGATATTCTCGGAAAATCTAGGCTCCCTTCCAGACTCCCCACAACGGCGGCTTCCTCCCTACGCGCCCATCTTTTCCAACCCAAGATCTATGAGAAAGGGTTGAAAGTGTAAGCTTAGATATTGGCAGACAACGCTCAATGTCTTCAAGATTCTGGTGCTTTCGATGGTTTTATCAGGTGAAGCTTTCCCCGTCAAGAAAATAATGTCTGATGCTTGATTCCGTCGTCTCCTACGGTTGGAGTAAACGAACGAATAAATACACGTCGACAAGGGTGCGAATATTTTTGCAATTATTATGATCGTAAAATTACTTTTGAACTGTAGCTCCTTTTTTATTCTATCTAATAACACTCAAAATCATTTTTTAAAGGAACAAGGAAACCTTAACAAAGTTAAACCCTATAGCTCATTTTTTCTTAGTGTATCATTCATATTCTCTCTCTTTCCATCTATTTTCCTCTCTATCTACCTTTATTACCTTGTCGTATAGGTAAGACAAGACCGCGGTCAGTTTTCATAGAGATCACCCTTGTAACCAATTTCTAGTCGTCCTTGTAATGGATGTTCAAGCAAGTAGTAGACCTTGAAAATGTTCTGCCCCCTCTGTCTTTTGACATGCGTGTATGGTACTAACATCAAACTTTCATTCACGTATCAACTATTAATTAGGAAATTATGCGTATCGTACGAGTATGGCAAAAAAAAGAAGGTAAAATGGTGGGTATGACACAACGAGAGAGAGAGAGAGAGAAATAGATCATCCGTTTAAAACTCAGCTAACAACTACTAAATGTATGCATTATTTGAACGTTTTCAAATTCTGATATACTGACAAATAACTGGCATACTTGAATAACGGAGAAATGCTCTCAGCAGCCGTTTCAAAAGAGCTAACGTGTTTGGGTGAGGGAAATGTCAAAGGGAAGATCTTTCGGTAATTATAAAAGCAAACTCCATCGATCAGCCGAAGGAAGCAAGAAGATTGGACGTGCATTTGGATCAATGAATTATTCCGGCAGGCGGCGGCCATCCAGCACCTACTGTGGAAAGGAAACGACATGCTCGCCTGATGCACAGGGGAAAAAGGAGTCGAGAGGATGAGAACTATCGATATCACGAAGCCAAACGCTACTCGGCCGTAGTTGTTGGTTGGTGTGAGAGTGTCGGGTTGTGAACTTGAAGACAACAATGCATGGGACATGATCCCACCCTTCGTGGATGGGATTACTTCTGTCTGAAAGGAATCCTATGAGATGATGTTTAACGCGCACCGTGAAAGCTGGGTCTTAATTATTCTCACAGAAGATGCGTATGAAATGAATGATTTCCCCTTCCTGAGGACGCCGAAATCCATCTGCTGTCATGATGGTTCTTCTCTCCGCCGCATCCAAAGTGGGCACGGATGAATGGTTGATAGATAAATAGATAGATATATGTGGTGAGAGTGGGAGAAAGGGAGAGAGAAAGCAGTGTACTCTCTCTCTCTCTCTCTTCCATGGGAGTACCCTGTGTGCCCCTGGCTTTTCTTATCTCTCTTCCATGACATTTTCCTTCCTATCACGACCGTTGATACGTCTCCGAAGACGTTGTTGCCGCCTTCGACCAACAGTTGATCTTCTTGTCCAGATTCCTTGTCTCATATATTTACCAAACCTGTAACGGAGAACAGTGGTGCGGGATGTCTGTACACGCCAAACTTTGTCTCCTTTCCCTTTCCCTGTCAAAGCTTATAAAGAAAGATTCTCCCTCCAAGAAAGGGATGGGCCCTGAGTTATCTCTGCTACATTAAGAAGAGACGGGATCCGAGAGAACACTGCTGGTGATGGAGACGGCATTTGTTCTATACGGCGGTGTTTGTCCGTTCCGAGTCAGTTATGAACAAAGGAGAATGACTGAGACAACGAGCATCACTAGCAACATAACGAGACACCGCCGTGTTCGGCGTTTCGTTGGTAGATGGCGGCGGCGTTTACGTAACTTAGACATGTCGGTTACGTAGGCGTGAGTTCATCAACGTGTACTAAGGAGTTTCATTTGGACAGGTCACTAACAAAGGCTCGCTTCTCTTCCACCGATGATTTGATGGAGGACTGAGATGATTTATTTAACCGTTTTTTCTGTTCTTCAGTTTTTAAGATGAACGGGTTTGGGCAAATTTTAAAGATCCGGTCAAAGTCACGGTTATTGCAACAGGTACATCATAAAATTCCGCGAAGACGATATCCGAAACAAGGGGCATTCACGCACCTTTTCCGTTGGGCTTCTGCTGATGGATCCAATCGCTCTGTGATAAAAATTAAGCTTCTTACTTCGATCGTTGTCAGCTATCAATCAAAATATTACATTTCCAACATCCTGAATCCTCTTTGTTCTTTCGTCGAAGTCGAACTCACATCACTGACAACAACTCGTTCTAGAGTGTGTAACGGCAGTGTCGGATATTTCTATATCTCGGATAGTTGATACCCTTTTGAAGAATAGCCTCTATGTCATGTGCGCCAAAAGTTGTCAAACTTGTTAGGGCGGGGGGGCGGGTTAGTGATCTAGCCACCGATTAGATAATAGCCGGTGCATGGCCATGCTGTACCCTTGTTGGGCATGCGGTTTCAGGCTAACTAAATAAATACCTGTCTGCTTATCACATAAAAATTTTCATGTTTGGAATTTGTAAGATTCTCGATGACGCATTTTGGCATAATTCCTAGAATCACACAATTTGACGTCGAGATATTGTGAAGTTTCTTTCCTTTAGGCCAACCAATCAATTTCCGAAGACGATCTCGACGCTGCATACGCACGAGAAGAAAAGAGAGAGGTAGATAAATGAGGAGAGAGAGATTGGAGGATCCTTCAAGCGTGCTGGAGAATGGTGGAAATCAGGGTTTTGGGTTTAAAATAATCTTTTTCGTAATAATGGCGACAACGGCCAGCGATATTTGCTGAAACCTAGTGAAATCTTATTACTCAACTTAGTCGAAATATACAAGGTATAAAAAAATATTGGGAGACTTGGGATGCCGTGGCCATCACCCGACCGCCCAACTTCAATTGCAACCACGCAACGATGGCGGACCCAGAAATCGTAGATTGATGAAGGTCGGATGTTTTAATGACGTCGCATGGCGTAGGACTTCGAGTGGTGTTGAGCTGCACCTCGGTCAAGCCGGCTTCTGTATTGCCCTCTTGCAACATTGCTTGGTTCTGGGGAGAGTGGAGGAGGAAGAAAACAGTCAAAATTGTGTTAACATCTTTCCAACTTTCTCTCTCTTCACCTCTGGAACCGGAGAGTACTTTATCCGGTGGCGCTGGTGGGCCGGGCCTCGAAAACCGCTCAGAATGAGCCCAGTAGTCATCGGAGACGAAATGTGGGGTATCCGATGTCGACGTGCGGTTTCCAAGGTGGGACCCGCGGGAGTTCAATTTCGAGATTATTTACCAGCGATATGTGGGGAGAGACGGAAGCGTCGGGAAAGTTTTCAGAGTAATCTTGCGCGTCCGATCAGATCACAGTTGCCCCCCGGGTGTGGATGATGACGGCAGCGAAATCTCTCTGTGTCTCTCTCTTTCCCTCTTTCTCTCCCAAGCACCTCTATCCTCCCTGCATCTCCTGGCCCCTTCTTTGCCTGCTTTATATACCCTGCACCGCTGGTAGAAGGGCGAGGAGAGAGACGATAGAGAGGGAGAGATGATAGCGTGTCTGGAGCAGCGATTCCTGCCCGAGAGCGAGGCTGTGGCGGGCACCAGCAGTGGGGACGCCCAGGAGGAGGAGTGGGAGGAGGACCTCGGGTTGATCCGCGGCCTGGAGCTCCACGGGCCTGTCGAAATAGACTGCGCCACCTCGCCGCCGTCGGCAGCGGCGGCGGCGAGAGACTTCGGGGGGATCTACCGGCTCCCCCCAGTGGCAGTCGTCTGGCCCGCGTCCTCGGAAGACGTGGCGAGCGTGGTCCGCCTTGCCGCTCGCTCTCCCCGCCTCACCGTCGCCCCCCGCGGCAACGGGCACTCCATCCACGGCCAGGCAATGGCGGCCGGCGGCGTGGTCCTTGAGATGCGTCCCTCCATGGCGTCGCTGGAGCTCGTGCCGGGGGCCACACCCGCCGTGCGCGCCGGCGCCGGCGCTCTGTGGGACGAGGTGCTGGAGTGGTGTGTCGGTCGTCACGGCCTTGCCCCGCGGTCGTGGACCGACTACCTCGGCCTGACGGTCGGCGGGACACTCTCCAACGGCGGGATCAGCGGCCAGGCATTTCGCTTCGGCCCCCAGACCGCCAACGTGATCGAGCTGGAGGTGGTCACCGGCCGGGGCGACTCGATCGTCTGCTCCGAGACCCGATGCTCGGACCTCTTCTTCGCTGCGCTCGGCGGGCTCGGCCAGTTCGGGGTCATCACCCGCGCCACCATCCCCCTCCAGCCCGCGCCCGACATGGTGCGGCCGCCGCCGCCGCCGCCCTTCTTTCGGAACATTCCTCAGATTCCTTCGTTTTTTTAATCCTTGTCTCTTGTAGGTGAGGTGGATGAGGGTGGTGTACGCCGACTTCGAGCACTACGCCGGCGACGCTGAGTGGCTGGTCAGCCGCGCGGCGGCGGAGGCTGGAGAGGCTTTCGACTACGTGGAGGGGTTCGTCCTCGTTAATGCCGATGACCCAGTTAACGGGTGGGGCTCGGTGCCCCTGGAGCGGGGCCAGAGGTTCGACGGCGAGGCGGTTCCTCCAGCCGCCGGTCCAGTCCTCTACTGCCTCGAGGTGGCGGCCTACTACGACCTCCGCGACGCCGACGACTCCGTGGACAAGGTAGGCCATGGACATTTCGGTCATTCCGAGGGAGTTCGCTGTCGGAGGGTGGGGCCCATGACACGCACGTCTGCGACGTGCGTGATCTTACGCTGGATTCTCTGACACAACGGACAAATGCCTTCCCGCTCCCCTCCCCCCTTCGATTCCCGCCATCATTGCATATTCCGCCGTCGCAGAAGGCGGAGGGGCTGCTGCGGCGTCTGCGGCACGTGCGGCGGCTGGAGTTTCGGACGGACGTGAGCTATGTGGGGTTTCTGTCTCGTGTGAAGCGCGCGGAGGAGGAAGCGAGGGGTCGCGGCATCTGGGACGGGGCTGCGCACCCATGGCTGAACCTGCTCGTCTCCAAGGGCGACATCGCTGACTTTGACCGCCAGGTCTTCAAGCGCATCCTCCGCGGCGGTGTCGGCGGGCCGATGCTCGTCTACCCTCTCCTCAAGTCGAGGTGAGTCTCCTCAACTCCTCGTCCTCGTTCAGAACCAGGGATTGGGGGGGTTGCGATTCAGGGCTGCGAGGTTTGTCTTAGCTGGTAAAGAAAAAAACGTCTCTCCCACGGGCACCTTTGCTTCACGAGGAGAGGGGGGATGGAGGGGGTCAGGTTTTGCTATGCCGCAGCTGGCGGCATCCGAGGGCGTCTTCTTCCCCGGCTGACTGCCGTTTTCTGGTTTTGGCAGATGGGATCCGAGGGCATCGGTAGCGCTGCCGGCCGGGGAGGTGTTCTACCTGGTGGCGTTGCTGCGGTTCAACCGGCCACCGCCGGAGGGCCCGCCGACGGAAGAGTTGCTGGCGCAGAACCAAGAGGTGGTCGACTGCTGCGTTGTCAACGGCTACGATTTCAAGATGTACCTGCCGCACTACCGGAGCCGCGACCAGTGGGAGCGGCACTTTGGCGAGCAGTGGCCCCGGTTCGCCAAGAGGAAGGCCAGCTACGATCCCTTGGCCATCCTCTCTCCTGGGCAGAGGATCTTTCGCAGAGGTCAGGGCCCCCTCGGGGAACAAGACAATTAAATCTCAGATATCAGACGACAAAATAAGGCGCGCAGAGAGGGAGATAGCTTTTATTCTTGTGATTCCTCCCATGGCTCTATCCCTGACGACGGTGATCAATCACGTTCGTTGATATATATACATATAATATCCGTGCCGCCGCCGCTGAGGAAGCTGTTGGTAAGTCGGATTCGTGCAACGCGACAGGCAAGGAGAGAGCCGTAAATTCTACGTCTCCAATCATTCTCGCTTTTCTTGGCTTCGTCTTGGCGGTGCAATACTATACCTTCAATAATGTTTTACGTATTATGTTTCTATATAAATACGTTATCTATATTTCTATATGTGCGCGATTTTACCCCAGTGCTAATCTTGCGTTCGCGGAGGGATAACTAGAGAAAAACCTTACACCGCTAGGTTCAGCGAGCTCCTCTCCTCACGACGGGGCAGCTGTCATCTCATAGAAAGGAGCCAACAGCATTCCGTTCGCCCTTTCGGTCCTAAAAACTGGTTCTGCAGGCCTACTCATGTAATTAAAGACTTACTTGTTGGTTGGTGGATAATTTAATTAAACCGCTATCGATAAATACGTGGATTAATTCCACGCTGTACTTAGTGACGTATAGTTGACATGTCAATATCGGAGAAAACATGGATTAAAGAAAAGTTTCATTAACAAGCTCATGTTCATCTCTATCCTGACCGTAATATAATGATCGGCCGAGGGGGATGATAACTTCTTACATTTTTGTACTTAAAACGTGAGATTGATCACCCACTGTAGAGAGGTCAATTCATCCTATCAAATGGCCAACTAAGACAGGTTTTTTTCGTGGTAAATGATCAATAGAGGTGGCAGTTAAATCGCTTGGACCGAGATAGGAAGAAATGGTCTTCACGACAACGAAAAAAAACCTTTTTTTGTGATAATAAACAATAAATTAGTCTAACCGTCCATACGTGGGTGCACGTGCAACGTATAATGAAGACAAGTCGCGAGGAGAGAGCTATTTCCGAGGTCTCTTTTTCCTTTTCTTCCCTTTCCCATGTTTTATTCTCTGTTGCACCTGGCCGCAATTCATCGATGTTCGAGATTCCGCAATTGATCGTGTCCCGTCCCCGCCATGAAGAAAATTCCGCACTTTTCAACAAAGCAAGATTGTTGCGCCACCAAGCGGTGTCGCCTTAGTCTTCACCTTAACCCCCCACCCCAACACACAGACGAGCTTCTGTCCTAACTCTTCATTGTTTCATGGGTTCCTTACTTGCAATCAGAGAGAGAGAGAGCGAGAGAGAGAGAGAGAGAGAGAGAGAGAGAGAGAGAGAGAGAGAGAGAGAGAGAGAGAGAGAGAGAGAGAGAGAGAGAGAGAGGGTGGGGATATGGAATGCTGAATCCTGATGAACACTGGAGATTGTTTTCGAAGTTTTGTTGCGGTCAGAACATATTGGTTAACCAGGGGGAAGCCTAGTGTTCCTCCTCTCCTTCGGTTCTTTATTTTCTCTTCGAGGGATGAAAAGGCCGGCCAGGGCTCTATCACGAGGGCATCTGATTCCTAAAGCAAAACTACTTGGATTTTACGCTTTCTCTTGGAAGAGGTGCGATGCCGCTTCCCTTCTTCTTCAACATGTAGACAGCCCTGAATCCCTCCCTCAAAAGCATACATAATTGCAACAAACAACGAACTTCCTCTTCTCCAGTCTCCCACACTGAGGGCATAATTCCTCCCTCGTTACAAGGACCCAGAATGGCGCGTCTGTCTGCATTTGATCGGAGCCGTAAAGTCTCCGTCTCTCTGACCAGGTTCTCTCGGATGGCCTTTTAAGTGCGAACTCTAGGGCTGCTGTTCTTTGGAGGACTGCTCGCTGTTCTTCGGAGCTTTTGGCCACGGCGGCGCTACTGAGAAGAATCTTTTAATCTTTCTAACGACCCGCAACGAAAATAAATGGGTAGGAGGCTTCGGCTGATGAACTGCATGCATCTTTCAAAGGAATCAGACTCAGAGAGGGTGTATCTCTAGGGTTCCCAACCATATCGCTTTAAAGAAAGCGATGTGCAAAAAAAAACTTTCGGGGGGCTTTTGACCCCAAGAAATCGGTCAAATTGGGATGATCTCCTTGTCCTCATCAATATCGGGAAAAACTCTCCAAAAATATGCTAGTTTAGAGAGGATTGGAACCAATATAGAGGAAGAGCATTAGAGGAAGGAAGACTCCAATGTATTCGAGTCCAGACTTGACAAAAGTCGCAAGTTCCAGGGCTGGACTTGGCCTGAGGCCAGTCCAGTGCATTCATACTCTAAACCGGCTGATGAACGTCAGTCCTGAGAAGGGCTGACAATGCCCGGCCTGAGAGCGAGAGAAAGAAAGAGAGAGAGAGCGGACCGGTTAGGGGTGGAGTCCTCGCTCAGTCAGGTGAAGTCGTCCCAAAGTGCACCTAATGCGGCGACAAGTGAATGGTAATGGGAGATATCCCGAAGATGGATTTCCTTTCAGGCAGTGGGGTTGTGATGGGTGAAACCGGCGCCACCGGACACAGTGTGAGACCGAGTGAAATAAATGTTCAGATTATTAATCTTTCTTGTGTTGCATTGATAGCTCATGTACTGAAGAATATTATTTTCTCCGAATATAATATTCCAAACCAAAAAAAGCCTGGTCTTTACAGCCTCAAAAAGGCACTGAGGTGAAGAATCTAGCATATCAAGCACATGAAGCACTCAGTAGATCCTCGGTATTTTTCTATATTTAACTGCAACAGCCGCCCGAGCTATTGACAGATAACATCATAAGTGATCCACCATTCCTTTCGTCCATGTTGGTAAGGACCGATAAAATAAAATAAACATTTAGTTAGTCTACTGTGTTCATGTTTAATGCCGGGGTTTAAAGTAACCGTTTAGTCTTTAGCTTCGCATTAGCTCTGTATATTGGTATTGAATTGAATGATTAGGCACCAACACGACAACAAGTGGGTCCTATCTTGTGCACATTTCTATCCGCATGTCTGCAAGCAAGAGTCTAAGACATTGGCATGCTCAAAGGAAGAATGCAACATTATAAGATTATGCGTACATTGGCTCTGATAAGTAATATTTATTATTCAAATATTCGCAACATACAAACACCAGGCCAAAGATATCGGTAGAGCAAGATAACTGATTCGTGAGTGTGGGACCACGAGTCTCGAAGTACAACAAATTCACTGGCTTTAGATCCAAACTGCACATTGTTTGGGCGAATATTTCGCCTGTTTTGAAAACAATGGGCTCATGTGATATATTTACTCGGTAGTTATCTCATGTTTTTTATAAAATAGACATACTTTTAAGAGTGAAATCGTCAAACTAAATATTGATTGCCATTGAGATAGTTGGTTCGTATATTTTAGTAACACTATATAACTTATCATTATAACGTGTTACTTTTCTATATATATATAGATGATGGCGTTTTAGAAGAAGAAAAAGGGAACTTAAATTCATCTAGAAGTATGTGAAATCCAGGCTGGATACCATACTCAAGTTGCCATTAAACTTAAAAGCAACAGAGAGGATGATTCAATAGAGAAATAGGTAGCAGATACATTTATTCAGGATCACAGATGTAGACCTTTAGTTGGCCGAAAATATTTTATAGAAAGGTTTTTGTAACCAAGGGAGGGCTATTAAAATTGAGTAATATGCTAATAAGTGGCCCAAGCCTCATCTTTCTTTTATTTGGTCCATAAAAAGCTGGAAAAATGGGTATAGGCTAAATCCTTTAAAGTTCTTTTTGTTGAGTTATGAATTAACTTAATATTATTGAAGATTGATATGAAATCATGAAATTGATGATATGAAATGTGAATTTAATTGAAGATTGATATCTTAAAAAAGATTAAAGGGGAAATTTTATTATTTTATATCTATATATATTGAAACTAATTCCAATAGAAATGCTAACATGTAAAATGATTAAATTGATGATTTGAATCATAGTAAATATCTCATATTATTTTAAATTCTCCTAGGAGATATAAATATTAAAATAGTTTGGTATAAAGGTAATAAAAAGTTTGTGTGATGATAATATATTATTATCATATGAGCATATTTTAATATTTGGATTTTCTATATCAATTGACTTTATCAATATAGACATATGAGAATCAATAAAAAACTCTATAAAAAATGAATGATATGAAATACATGTTGGATAAATTACCAAGACATTGATTTGTTATTAGTATCTATAAGATTATTGAAGGAAAAATTTCACCCAATGATAACTAATTTAGAAGATTGATATATCTAGGTAAAATAATTTTTATTTGAGAAAATATGCCACAAATATAGGTGTGTGAGTATTAAATAATGATTCAATGAAGAACTAAAATTTGAAAATCGTGCATAAAAAATTCAAGGTACTAAGAGAGTTATGATTGTTTCAAGTTTTACCATCAGTTTTTTTATATTTTCTAGAACTCATGCATGACCCATTAATACTAGTCTCTAAGCATGATTGTTTGACTTAATAAGAGCCAAAAAGAAGGCATCTAGCCTAATCCTAAAAAAAGGATATTTTATCCAAATTAGGACAATGAGAAATATATAATTTTTAGACATCGATAACTACTTCAAATGACATCCCTTTTGTTGTACTAAGGGCAGCATTACATCATTTAAAGAGAGTTGTGGATGTTACTTGGAGTCTCAAATGTTTCTCCTCTCAACCCAACACTTCACTAGTCCTTCAAGGATTCATCATGTTCCAAAATGACCATTAAAGGTTGCATTGACCCTACTCTAAATTTTTCATTTATGTTTACTTTTATTTGTGATGTGTGGACTGATTGAAATGTGATGTATTTTCAATGTAGTGGGAAATATTGTTGGGACACTTGTGGTGTGCTCAAAACAAAAAGATCTATGACCATTAAAGTTAAGGTTTTAAATGAACTTATCACACACTCATGGAGCTTGTTGATATCAAGGGTTCTTGATCCTTGTCAAATCAAATATATTCTAATAATTGAATAATGA